AAGAGCAAAATCTAGAAGCTTAAGTATTTCTTAACGTAGGAGACTAGAGGCTAGAGAATTTTATTCTTTAAACATTGCAGTGACGTCATGTAATTGTCTTAAAAGTACTTTATATTTCAGAATGTATTGAAAATAGTCCAATATTATTTAGAGAAGGCCACTATTAAATATTATATTGGACTGCAAGTGACAGCCAGATAACAAAAACAAAACACAAATTGTTTAAAATTACATATTTAATTTGTTAAATTTACAATAATTGAAATGCTCTAGAAAAAAAACGTAATCCCCAGCCGTGTTCATTTCCTTGTTTGATCCAAAAGAAAAACTAGTACTTTCATTGCACTTCATTTTCTTTAGAATCGATGTGGGCACTGTAGACGATTTCTGAATTAAATCACTTACACCCTGTAATTGTTCCTCAGATGTGCGCTTGTATGCATGTATTACAGATGGCCTGTGCCTAGTTTTTTCCCCTATAAGTTGTTTGTCAACACCAGCAGCATAGAGGCGTTTGGCAGAAGCAGCCCGAAAAGAGAGGTTAGTAAAACATCTATCAAAGCCTGCTTCCTTGCACATTTTTGCCACAGTTTGTTGTAAGTTGTGTACGCCTACATGGATACTGTCATACCATAAGTTTTCCCTAGGTGTGGATTTTGGTCTAATATAAAGTGCATTAGCTTTTCGATTTTGGGGCTTCAAAAGAATTCAAGAAACATATACAAAAAGCAAAAAATCAAATAAATCAAAGATTTCGAGAAAAAAAAGCTGTCATATCCAATAGAATATGTTAAAAGATTTATTATTTTACTTACCGGAAACTCAGGTACTTTTCATAAGTTTTTTACTTCAAATCACTCGGGCTGGACTAGATTTTCGTATGCTCTTGTGACTTTGGGTTCCTCTTTTCCGATGGTTTATCCCTCCTGAGTTGCACTTCGAAACGTGTTCCCTGTACTCTAAGTATCTAACATTTTTTGCAGATGTTTTGATGGTGTGTTGAGAATGTTCACCAACTCTCAAACTCATGTCTTCTTGAGCAGCACGAAGTGCCTCAAAATTACATTCGAGACTACTGTCATTTACTTAATGTTTTATCTTTATTTTTTGTTTATGTAAATTTCTTAAAGAATTAATATTAATGTATATCTTTTTAAAAGTATTTCATGAATATCTTAATTTTATTGTGTATCATATTTGTTTCTGTTGCATCACTAATGCAATTGAACTATTTAACATTGTCAAATCTTGATTAAACTACTAGTATTCAAGACTTGGTTCTTTTCATTCAAATGGATTTTTCAACGAAGCACTCACTTTTATAGCTGACGTTTTTATTTTGACAATTTAACCTGCATAATAATTATTGGAAATTATTTTTTTTTACAAAACTGATAAGAGATCAGAAAATCTTTCTAGTAGTTAAAAGTATGGCGTTAGAGTCAATAACATGTGAAAGCCAGAAGTTGAGGGTAGGGGGATTGTCGTTTTGTTCATAGGTAATTTATTATACCCCCCGCTTGAAAAGTGGGAGGGTATATAGTAATCGGGATTTCCGTCCGTCCGTCTGTTACGCTTTGGGGTACCTATCTCTTATCCGCAACTCCTCTTATACCATTGAGTGAAATATAATGAGACTTTCACAGAATGTTTGTTATATAGTGCCATTGTGCACCTCCTATTTCACTTTTTTATCAGACACACATTTCGGGTTTACCATAGCAAAAAAAAAATAGACATTGCCACTTCAATCGGTCCAGAATTATTCGAATCGTCCGTTTTGGTTCCTTGTTTACAATTTCAAAATGGTGTTGGTAAAAATGGGAGGGCAAACACGGGCTTGGGCAAAATAAAACCGAAGCAGTTTGAGATTTTCGAATATCTTTGCTAAAACTCCATCAATTTATCTGAAATTATCAGATTATGTTTCTTCAGGGTTCTTTTGGGTTCTTCTGCCCCAGTTTTTTATTTGTCTGGGCCTGGGTTTGCCCTCCTATTTGGTCCCATTTTACCAACACTCTCAAAATGGCTTCTGTGTCACGATGTGTCGAAGGTGATCACACTGCAGCATTTAGCCCATCAGTCCCCAGTTCCCCCACATTTAAGACGGTGAAGGTTGTTTTTATGTTTACTAATTTTATTTGATAGTGACGGTCACAAATGACAACAGTTTTCTACACCAACATTTAGTATATCAGTCCCCACATTTAACACGGTGAAGATTGTTTTTATGTTTACAAATTTTATTTGATAGTGAAGGCAGCTTTCAATGGCAGCATTTATCAGTCCCCACCAGGTCTGGTACAATTACTAGATTTACTTAGCTACGTACCTTGATTTACCTTCATAGTTTTATTTAATTACCTACCTGAGGTAGATTTATTTAGCTACCGTATCAATTTATTTCTATGAAAATAGCATTCTTTTGTAAAGTTACATTGAAATAGCTAAATAAAGCTACCTGAAGTAGGTAAATAAAGCTACATAGGTAATTCTACCTACGTAACTAAATCTAGTGATTGTACTGGACCTGACCACATTTAAAAGGTTGAATACTGTTTTTGAATTTTCTGTTTACTAATTTCATTAGATAAAACATTTAAATCTGAATTCGCCCGTGGAAGGATATCCCGCCACAGTTTGATGTAACACAAGAGTGAAGTAAAAACTAGGAAAGATTTTATTTTTTTCAATTTGACATGCAAATGTAACGAACATACTGGTAATATGGAAGTTAGAATAATCTAAGAGTGTCTCGATACAAGCCATCACCACAGTGTGAATACGTCCCATATACTTGCAATGTAGGAAATAAGAGCGGATCCGCTCCAAAACGATTTTGAAGAATATAAAATGAATTGCACTGGAAATAACTACTGTAAAACTCGGTTAGTACGAACACGGATATTGTGAATTCACAGATATTGCAAAGTTGTCTTGGATCCCCAGTTATATAAATATAACATTTCTTATACGGATATAACGAATTATGGGTATAGCAAAGTAATTTCAGAGGTCCCAGTGACTTCGTTATAACCAAGTTTTACTGTACCAAATTAATCAAAACCTTTTTGAGATTGCTTATGCCTTTTATCCCCAAAAATAATCCATATAAATACGAAAATCCAATTAATTTTCTCAACGTTTTTCTCTCGCTGCGAATTTACCTGTCATGTTTACTTTAGGAACTATTTCACGGATAAATATATAGGAAAATTCTTTAAAAATCTTCTTCTTCGTAAGAAGGACAAAGCCATTTTTTATCATATTTATATGGAATCATCCTCAGGTAGTGTAGATTCAAGTTTGTTCAAATCATGACCCTCGGGGGTAGGCCGGGGCCAAAATGGCCGACCAAAGTTTTACGTAGAAATATATAGGAAAATTCTTTAAAAATCTTCTTCTCAAGAATAGCAAAACCATAATTCATCATATTTATATGGAAGTATCCTCAGTTAGTGTAGATTCAAATTTGTGCAAATCATGCCGTCGGGGGTAGGGCGTGGCCAAAATGGTCGACCAAAGTTTTACGTAGAAATATATAGGAAAATTCTTTAAAAATCTTCTCAATAAAAACAAAACCATATTTCATCATATTTATATGGAAGCATCCTCAGGTAGTGTAGATTCAAGTTTATTCAAATCATGACCCCCAGGGGGAGGGTGGGGCCTCAGGTGAGCAATGTGGACCATGGACCTCTTGTGTTGATGATCTTGACAAACTTAGAAGTAGAGGTCGATGATGTCATAATATGACGTCTTAATGTGTACTGGCTATCCCTTGTCCAAGAATGTATTATAGAAAACAAGTAAAACTTTTTATTTGCTTTATATAAAGCCAATATGAGTTTTTAATCAGATATTTTGCATATAAACCTCCATACTTGCCCATAACTTTTGATTGCTGTGAACTTTTTATTGTTGAAATAAAAATTATTTGGATAAATTTGCAAATTCGAAATTCCTCTTCGCCCAGATAATGTACTGTATATGACTTTTTCTTCGCGAGAACTTGATTTTTGCGTGATTACGCGAGACATTGTGCTCGCGAAAATTAAGTTCTCGCGAATAATTCCTTAAGATTATGTAGAGCAATAACCACAATTCATGAAAATTTTTTCTTGCTTATCAAGAATCAATGACTATCTCACGAAAATAAGGTGTCGCGAAAATTTAGTGATCTACAGTATTTAGAGCTGCATTAGTAATAAAATATTAAAACAGAATGATATTGCTTTCATTTTTTTTATTTAAATCAAGTGCTAACTTTGAAAAAACTTTAAATTGGCCATAACTTTTCAATGGTAAGTTCTAGGGCTTTCATACTTTACACATGTAATCCGGCCTTGTAACAAGAACTTCCTTGAAATACAAAAAAATTACCCTTCAACACTTACCTTGCAGTTTGACCTACTTATATAAAAATTAACTGTATTCATACTAATATCATCATACTATGCAATCTTCAGTTTGCAAATACTTCTTGAAAATTGCAATAGTAAGCAGGTGGGAAACCTGACCTGTTATTGACCAGGAAGCCTTAAACATTTTATAGGTACATGTTGATCATTTGTTATTCTAACTAGCAATATATTTTTTACTACATTTTTGAAATTTTGGACTATCAGATCAAGTATTACGTTGCTGGGAAGTGCTCTTTTGACATTGTAGGAAAGTTTATACTCTTTGGAGAAAAGTTATTCCACTTTGCTATTCATCTGTTATGATTAATCACTTTTTAATGCAATTTATAGGTCAATTAAAAAAAAATATATAAGGAGTTTTAATGTAAAATGCTAAAACTACCTTCATAACATTTATGTTTATTGGTAAGATAGACCTGTATATAATACATATTAGATACTTATAGATATGGATAATAGATCATTACACATAAATGTTATTTAAGTAGTCCAAGTGTTAGAGAGAATGTGATGGGTTTTCTGCTTGACCAGTGAGTGACAAATGTGACTGTAGTTCAGCAATGAAATAGATGTACTCTATGATTTGCTACTGAGTACTAAACTTTCCATACTGTTCATCCTTGATCATTGCCATTCAACCCGGGCTTGTCATATTTTGAAATTTTAGTAATTTTTCCCTCCTTTTTTTAGAGTCAATAAATATGCCAAAACAAGGTAAAAGAAAGAGCTATCGGTCCAGATTACAGCAAATGAGATTGTATGCCACTCAAAGAACTAATGAAGATACAGAGATGGGGTATGATACAAAGCTAAAAGCAGACACTGAAGAAAAGTATAATCCTACCATGATGCTAGATGGTAAAAAGCAAACTGATCTACAAGAAGAAAAAAATTCTAATGATAGTTTTCAGGACCACGCAGATGAAAAAGATTTCCAGTCGCCATCACAGCAGTCAGAAACAGATCAGACAGCAACAAAAGATGAGTGGAAAACAAAGAGGAAAAAAGAATCAACAAGGAAAAGAATGGCTAAGTATAGACAAGGAATGTCAGATGAAGAGAAAGGAGAAAGAAAAGACATGGATAAAAAAAGCAAACAAGACAAAAGAGAACACTTACCTGAAGAAATCAAGGAAAACATCAAGGCATCAGATCGAAAAAGAAAACGGGACAAAAGAGAGCAGTTATGTGAAGAAATCAAGGAGAACATCAAGGCATCAGATCGAAAAAGAATACGGGACAAAAGAGAGCATTTACCTATAGAAATCAAGGAAAACATAAAGGCATCAGATCAAAAGAGGAAAAAGGACAAAAGAGAGCATTTACCTAAAGAAATCAAGGAAAACATCAAGGCAATTGATCGAAAAGGAAAACAAGACAAAAGAGAGCATTTACCTGAGGAAATCAAGGAAAACATCAAGGCATCTGATCGAAAAAGAAAACGGGAAAAAAGAGAGCATTTACCTGAAGAAATCAAAGAGAACATCAAGGCATCAGATCAAAAGAGAAAAAAAGACAAAAGAGAGCATTTACCTAAAGAAATCAAAGAGAACATCAAGGCATCAGATCAAAAGAGAAAAAAAGACAAAAGAGAGCATTTACCTAAAGAAATCAAGGAGAACATCAAGGCATCAGATCAAAAGAGAAGAAAAGACAAAAGAGAGCATTTACCTAAAGAAATCAAGGAAAACATCAAGGCATCAGATCGAAAAGGAAAACGGGACAAAAGAGAGCATTTACCTGAGGAAATCAAGGAGAACATCAAGGCATCTGATCGAAAAAGAAAACGGGAAAAAAGAGAGCATTTACCTGAAGAAAGCAAAGAGAACATCAAGGCATCAGATCAAAAGAGAAAAAAAGACAAAAGAGAGCATTTACCTAAAGAAATCAAGGAAAACATCAAGGCATCAGATCAAAAGAGAAAAAAAAGATAAAAGAGAGCAGTTACCTGAAGAAACCAAAGAAATCCTCAAGACAGCAGACAGGAAAAAAAACTAGACAAAAGAAGGAATTCACCTGATAAAGAAAAAACCATTATAAAAGCAAAAGAGCGAAAACGGCTGTCCAATTATCGTCAAAATATGCCTTCTGATTTGAAAGACTCTGTCCAGAATATGTTTTGAAACAAAAAGAAAGACATAAGAGAGCAGCTACCAGAAGGAACCAAGCAGATCATAAAGGCATCAGAAAGAAAGAGAAAACAGGACAAAAGAGAAGGCTTACCTAATGAGAAAAAAAATGAAGTCAGAACAAGGGATCAGCAGAGAAAATCGGTAAATAAAATAAAATAAAATAATAGACCTTCAAAATCCGTATCAGACATTCCTTCACAAAATCAAATCTGGACCCTCGTTTGTATACTGGTGTTTTGATCAGAAAGAGATTAGTTACATATGTAAAACATGTAGTCTTTCACTGCACAAGAAGAAAATACCTGTACAAGCAACAGTAAATGAACTTCATCTCACTGAGCTCAAGGAACCTTTGATATCATTAACTGATTTTGAGGCCAGACTAGTTTCCCAAAGACTCATGAAGATACTTGCCCTACCCCGTGGAAGACAAAAAGCTATACATGGCACTGTGGTGAATGTTCCTGTGGATAGTTTATATTTTTGTTTCAACTAATCCACCTACAGAGAGAGTGAAATTATTGAAACCCAGAGCTGTCATAGAACAAATGGAAGATGATGAAGACGATATCTATCAAGCTGGTCTTCTTGACAAATACTCTATGCGACCACGTTATCTGTCAGACATATGCTTAGCAGAATTTGCTGTAACATACACAACATCCTACTCAAATTTTGATTCTGAGGACACAAATCCAGAGGTGATTGGTCTAGCGGATGACCTGGAATCCCCATACTACATCACATTAACAGATGGAAAAAAAAATGGTGAGGAGAAAAAAGACAGCAGTCATACGAACACACAAGGTCTCACAGAAAAAGAATCCTGAGAAGTATTCCTATGCATTATTGTTGCTGTATGTCCCATGGAGAAACGAGGAAAAAGACATTGGACCTTGTGAATTTGAAGGAGATTTTTTCCAGAAAAAATTGACAACTTATGCTGAACAAATCAACGCTATGATGCTGAGATTTGAAAAACATGCACAGTTAATAGAAGAAGCACTGGATGACATTTAAGAAAATGGTCCTCCTGATCCTGATGCATGGGGACATCTGGCCCCAGAAACAGTGCAAGCAAACCTTGATGCTGCTAGAGAAGGTTCTATGGATGATGAAAATGCTGATTTTATGGATCCAGGAAGAAACAGAGTTCCCAATGGAGACCCATCACTTGAATCACCCCAAGTCATTTATGAAGTACTAGCTTCCAGGTTGACAGACCACCAGTGGAGAGAGCATATCCACTCGCTGAATGAGGAGCAAACTCTGGTTCACAATTTCTTTGTCACATGGTGTACAAGGTTATGTCAAAGTAAAAAGATGCCTCCAAAATCTGATGCTTTTCACATATTTGTCAGCGGCGGAGCAGGAACGGGCAAGTCTCATCTCATTAAAACCATTCAAGAATCAGCTTTCCGTCTACTCCGACCTGTCACAGAAACCTCGGATGAAATAACAGTCCTTACAACAGCTCCTACGGGCACAGCGGTTTTAATGTGTTTGGCATGACCTTACCCGCTGCTTTTCTGTTGCCTGTAATGAAGGGGTTTTCAACATATAAGCCTCTCTCACAAGAAAAATTGAACACACTTAGGTGCAAACTTAGTTCACTGAAGGTCATTATTATAGATGAAATATCAATGGTAAGTGCTGACATGCTTCTGTTCCTACACCGCCGTCTTCAAGAAATCACAGGGAGTTCTGAAATATTTGGTGAACTCAGCATCTTTACCTTTGGAGATTTATTTCAACTACCTCCACCTGCACAGCGAGCTCTTTTTGATCAACCTTCTGACGAGATAGCAAGATTATGTGGATCTCTATGGAAAAATCATTTTAAAGTTGTAGAACTTCAACAGATCATGAGACAGATAGATGACTTATCTTTTGCCAGATTGTTGAACCGTGTAAGAAGTGGACAGCACACAAGTGATGATGTATCGACACTGTGTACAAGGGAAACAAATGACCCTCCTGAAGACATCCTCCATGTTTACACCACAAACAAAGCAGTAGACAATTACAACAACAAGAAACTGGATTCACTTTCAACCTCAAAATTTGTTGTGAGAGCACAAGACTAAAAGAAGGATGTTACAACAGGTGCCATTGCTGTAAATCTCTCAGATAAGGCAACAGAAACAGGAGGCTTACGCTCAACTCTTCATTTAGCTGTAGGAGCTAGAATTATGTTGACATACAATGTTAGTACAGCTGATGGTTTGGTAAATGGAGCTAAAGGAACAGTGAAAGGATTCATACCAACACCGCCAACTACTGCAGATGACAACTACACACCAAATTTTATTCTTATTGAATTTGACAACCCAAATATTGGACATCAGACCAGGATTTTATACGGACGCCTTATTCAGCATCAGTCAAAAGTTGTACCTATTGTTCGACAACAGGTTCAAGTGCAGTAAGGCAAACACTCAACTGTGCATGCAGTCCGGTTCCAGTTTCCTCTCACGCTCGCTTGGGCAACCACAATTCACAAGGTGCAAGGAGAGACATTGAACAGCATTGTTATACACTGCAATGGCCAGTTCCAGCCAGGACAGCTCTATGTTGCATTAAGTAGAGTAAAATCATTGAATGGCCTGTATCTTGTGAATTTTGACAGCCAAAAAATCAAAACCAGTGCCAAGACCATTGCTGAAATGGAAAGGCTCATAAACTCCATGAAGTTCTTTCCTCCTGATACCCTATCATATCTACCAGATTCCAACTCGATGATCAGCATATCAGCAGTCAATGCACAATCATTGCACAGACATTTTGTTGATGTTATCAACCATCCATCTGCCAGATCTGCTCATATTTTAGGAGTTACAGAGACATTCTTAATGCCGTCTGACAGCGACAGTGATTATAGTTGGAAAAATAACCATATTTTCCGCAAAGACAGACACCACACCTTGGAAAATACAACTGCTCCAACATCTAGAACACAGCATTCTGCTCATGGAGGTGTAGCTGTGTATGTTAGTGATCATTATTGTGTAGAGTTTATTTGCCAGGTCTATCATATACCTGTTGAGTGCATTGCTCTTGTATGATTTAATAGGAATTCATCTTTGAGATTTTGTTTCGTTGTCACATACAGACCTCCAAATCAAACATTAGAAATCTACCTAACCCATATGGACAATGTTATGAAAAACATTCCTCATCTAAACATACCAACTCTTATTTCTGGAGATTTCAATGTAAATCTCACACAAATGATCACCATCGCAGAAACTATTGGAAGCATTCTTTGCATCCTATGTTTACCCACAAACAAAGCATTGACAGTCCAACACATATCTGGATCCCTTTCAACCAAAATTTGTACTGCAATTTCGCCTTTTCTACAGATGTATACAAGACAGTGCAGCCAACCTATTTTTCTCAGCATTCCTTTGTCCAGATAATTTTTCCTCGATAAAAATGGACACTCATTGATCATGATTTATAGATCTATATATCATTAACATGATTAAGACATTTACAACACTACTTAAAGAGTACACACCAATTTTTTCTTTTAAAGGAATCATAATATTGGCACAATAGATAAGCCAAATTTTATATCTCTTTTTTGATTTTGTGAAACTTAGATATTTTGTTCTAGGATACAAAATCTGTATTTAAGGATACACCAAAGGTTTCCAAAGGGCAAAATTTAATTTGCTTGTAATTCTTTTGTTAACAAAGATAACATATTAAAAGTAGATACATTTGAAAGCTTGTTATTTACATTAAATGATTCCTAATTTGAATTTTCATTTGTATGCTTATTAAAAAATTATAAATATTTTAATGTAAATATTAGTGCATTTATATTTTATAAATCAACTTTTTTGTATTCCTGAAATGGAAAGGCTCTCAAAGTCAAAATTTTGCCTCAATGTAGATTAAAGATTCCAACTTTATCAGCATACCGTCAATGATTTTTGATAAATTTTTGAAGTTACATCCATCCATCTGCTTTCAGATCTGCATCATATTTTAGGAGTTACGGCCCAATTCTACGTTTCCCCCAATAATTCAGCGACAGTGATTATCATATGGAAAAATCACCATATCTTTTGTAAACACACATTTGGAAAATACATTCTGCTCCAGTTTTCAGAGAAATTGGTCAATGGAAGGTGTAGCTGTGTATGTTGAAATATCATTATGTGTGATCTTATTTACAGTAGTCAATCATAACCTGTTGAGTGCATTGCTCTTGTATGATTTATATGAATTCATCTTTGAGATTTTGTTTGGATTGTCACTTATCCATATTTCCAAATTCAAACATTAGGAGGTTCTTTTCTTTATTTATATGGACAATGTTTAAATGATTCCTCAGTAAAATAGGTTCAATTTCTGAGATTTCAATTTAAATCTCCTGCAGGCGTCATAGAGAATATTGGAAACATTCCTGTTTCATGGTATGGCTTCCACAGATCATTGACTAACATCTACAGTCCCTTTAGTTATGTACTGCAATTTCCCATTCCTGTGTGGCTACAAGACAGTTTATTTTTCCAGCATTCCTCCAGATTTTTTCCTTTCATAAAAATGGCAGTTCATTGATCATCATTTATAGATTTACATATCATTAAGACATTTACAACACTACTTAAAGAGTTATATGTTTGATTTCTTTTAAATAAATCATAAGGCAACCAAATTTTTCCTCTTATTTTTGATTTTGTGAAACTTTGATATTTTTTTCCTAGGAAAAATACAAAATCTGTATTTAATATATATATATATATATAATATTCTACAAATTTGACCACACAATCTTTGCTCTCGTAGTTTGAAATATGGCTTATTAGACGATTGTAAAATTACACATTCAAATTTTGATAGGATTTAAAGAATTTTTCATATAGTTTCTATGCTAGTGACTCTTGAAGGAGTACTGTTTTAGAACTTTCAATTCATCTACTGCAAACAAGTATCATACTGTTCATAAAAATAACCTTTTTGTTACTTAAACTCGTTAAGTTATATTGATCTTGGCAAATTCAGCAAAATTTTACATAAGGTAGAAAATACACCTTGCTCACCTTTGAAACTTTGGTGATGGTAATCTTTACCAGATTTCTCTCTGTATAATACTTATTGTGGCCATGCCCTTCCAGTCCTCACCCACCCCTACCCACCAAGAGGTCGTGATTTTAACAATTCAGAATCTGCACTACCCCAGGATGTTCCCATGTGTAATTTAGTATCAGCTCTTCTGTCCTATTGATTCTTGAGAAGAAGATTTATAAAGATTTTTCCCAATACATGTTTATTTTTAATGCAAAACTTTGTTTCCTTGATGTGGCCCCATCCTACCCCTGGGGGTCATAATTTTGATAATCTATACTACATCAGAATGTTCCAAAATAACTTTCAGCTTTTCTGGCCCAGTGGTTCTTCAGAAGATTTTTTTAATGACCCCACCTTATTTTTGTCATTTCTTGATTATCTACCCTTGTAAGAGAACTTGTCACTTCACTTCAAGAATTTAAACTTTCTTATTACCCAATGATGCTTTGTATCAAGTTTGCACAACATATGAAAATGATCAAATTTTAAAAACTAAAATGATTTTCATATTTTTCAAATGATAGTCGACAACTTAAGATATCATTTCTTAAAATTTGAGTTATACCTTATTGTAAATTTGTTGACCCATAAGCCTCCTTAAGTGTGAAACATCAGATTCTTAGATTCAAATAAATTCCTAGTGATTAATGATGACTTCTATCAGATCTAACTCATTATGTACAATATATAATATACAGACAAGTTCCATTCACTTGCACATAACCTTTCCTTTCTTCTCTTTCGATGGCAAAGGTTACATATGTTCATTGATTGTAATTTTTAAAATGAGCAATTTAATTAAAGACATAAATCCATATTATTAGTATTTTTCTTATGATAGGAAAGATTACTAGTATATGATTGATTGTAATTAAAATGAGCAATTTCATTAAAGACATAAATTCATATTATTAATGCATTTTCATGTGACTTCTGTATATGTATACATTTCATTATACCCCCCACTTGAAAAGTGGGAGGGTATATAGTACGGTAATTGGTATGTCCGTCCGTCTGTACGTCCGACTGTTACGCTTTAGAGTACCCATCTCTTATCCGCAACTCCTCTCATACCACTGAAGGAAATTAATGAAACTTTCACAGAATCTTTATTACATATATCCATTGTGCACCTCCTACTTTAATAGCAACTGCTGCAGATCTGTAGCGTTATGGTTTTATATATTGTAGTATATTTGTCTTTGACCATAACGCTACAGATCCCGTAATGCAAAAAAAAGTTTAATTTACGGCGCAATATTTTCTGCGCACTTTTGTGAAGAATTTGTCCACTTCCTAGCATTGGTCAATCAAAAATCTTTCACTCCCTAATTCTAGACACAATCTGTTGCCAATATGAGTATTTTATCCACATCCAATAAACTCACTTGAAGTGAATTTTCAGCAATCTAACAAATAATTTTAAT